AGACTCTGAACATCCACTGACGGGTCCCAATCTCAGTCTGTCCTCAGGAGTTTTAAAACCTGAAACCATATCCACAGGGGTGAGATAAAGCAATCTTTTTACCTCAGTAGATCTGTTGTTAACACTCCGTTGCAAAACAAAACAAAACAAACAAACTAAAACAGTTGCAGAAGGAGTGAAGAAATGGGGGAATTCAAAAGAAGGAGCAGGAGGTCAGTCTCTTTATCCCAAGTTCCCTGAGCAATGTGTTTTTGCCCCTGGCGGAGGCGTGGGCATCCTTACTGCATGAGTGTATGAAATATTCTTGTTCAGAGTCATCCCTCCTTCACGGCAATTTAGATTTCAAAGTTGCTGGAATTTCTGTTACAGTTTTCCTGGTAATATTGTGAATTTCTTTCTATAGAAGGGAATTAAGTACTAGAGGACTACTACAAACACTTACTTGTCTCTTCCACCTAAATCAGGGTCAAGGTACTGAGAGTTCAGACAATGGCTTCTAAGGAGACAATGACGTCCCCAAATAGGTCAAGCTTTGTTCACATCTGCTCCATTTCATTTGAAGATTTGGAGAAGTAATTGTGATTTAAAATATTTTTATATTAAAAGAAGCATGGCTATCTTTCAAATTAAACAGTTGCGTAGAGAATCAAGTGAAACTGGGAGCTCTGCCTCACCTGCCTCTGCTCAGAGTCCTTGGGTGAAAACGGTTTACACACAATGAGGCAGGAAAGTGAAAAGGAGCCCTTTTTCTATTTGTTTCTATTACTGATGAGGAATACCCTATAGCATAACAAAAGCTGAAAGGACGAGATATGGTCTATCTATATTAGGTACTCTACATTTTATGAGAATACCATGCGTTCAGTACATATCTCAAGGTAGTCTATAAACAATAATGAAGACTCACGACATTCTGTAGTGTATGGATGATTCTAATGTCTAAAAAAAGTTAAGACCAGTCATCTGCAATATCAAAAGCAGTACATGTTAAAAAGACTAAAAATAAGTGTTTCAGAAAGATGGTCTTGGGTTTTTATTTATGAGGCCTTCTCCATCAAGCCACCAAACCAAGACTGGACCCTCTCATTTCAACCTTATCTCATTTCGAGATAAGGTTTGTATGGGTTAGTACATGGGAAGCACTTGGAACAGAGCATACTATTTAATAAGCATGATCGTCATCTCTGGGTTGTGCCTACAGGTCAACTGTTCCCTTCTGTAAGTGTAGGAGTCTGGCGGAAGGAAGGGGGACCAGACCAACTGGCAAACTCTTCATGGAGCAGACCATTTCCCCTGATTTACACCCTCCCCACTTTCCCAGTGCTATTCTTTTCTCTGCCAACTGCAAGCTCAGCACCTCTTTGCCACTTATCAAACAACACAGCTGTTAATTCCCCCACAGCCACCTTGAGTTTATTCTGGGTGGTTGCTTCACTCCACTGTTGACGATGTCACTCATTTTTCATCTTCTCAAATTTGACAAAGCCTCTGGTTAGCTAATGGACCCTTATCTTGTTATGGATTTAATCCCTCCAGTAGTTGTTTATTTTTCTATATTTTTTCCCATATTGGTCAGAAATGTGGATTTAACGGAGTCCGCTCCACCATCTTGAATCAGAAGCTCCCTGGAATACACATAAAGCTTTTCTTCTAAGATTTAGGGTTACTTAAGCTCATGATAGAGTTCACATTTACTTATTTAGTGGTTCTTTCAACTATAGGAATTTTCTTTCATTTTCAAATAAAGAAAAAATTCCATCACAGTATTAAGATTTTGGTCATTGTCTCTAGCTGTGAAAGTCGGTTTGAAAAAAGCCACATAAAAAAAATAGCATCATTGGAGGTGCCTGGGTGGCTCAGTCATTAAGCGTTTGCCTTTGGCTCAGGTCATGATCCCATGGTCCTGGGATCGAGCCCCGCATCGGGCTCCCTGCTCCGCGGGAAGCCTGCTTCTCCCTCTCCCACTCCCCTTGCTTGTGTTCCCTCTCTTGCTGTGTCTCTCTCTGTCAAATAAATAAATAAAATCTTAAAAAAAAAAAAAATAGCATCACTTTACCCTATTTCCTTTTTCCCAAGAATATTTAAGTAAATTAACAAATGAGCAGATACACATACAAACACACCGAATCAAAGAATTTTGAAGGAAAAAAAGGATCATTTGCAATCATTTTATGAATGAGGTTATAAGGCGGGGGGGAGGGGGGGTGGAATAAACTGCCCCAAGCCTGCACAGCCTGCAAGAGCCGAAGTTGGATGAGATTCAAGTATGGCTTTTTTGGGTATGCCTAGAAACACAAGCTGATTCAGCACTCGTGTTTATTATATGAATAGGACTGTCTTTCATCAGGAGTTTGTAGCAAAAATGAAGATATTAGGACTATATTCTCCCATTGTTTTCATTTTCTTAGAAAAGGAAAGCCTATCAAACTTTATTGTCAGTCCTACAGTATATGCTTTTGAAGCTAAAAGTAATTACAATCCATAGTTACCTTGTATGACAACTGAAAGACCTTGACATATTACTTCTTTGTTACATTCAACGGTAAATGGCACCGAGCATATCTGACTACTTATAGTGTGAGTGTGAGGTAATTGTTCGGGAACCTACAACTGCTTATTTAAAGGGTGGGGACTCTTAATATAATTACAGGGCCAAAAGCCACCCAGCTTTACTAGGGGAAATATCACGCAATGCCCATTGTCAGTCTTCAGATGGTTTCTTAGTCAAATTCTTCATTACTTTCCAGAACGCTCGGGAATTCTCCAGCTTCGTTTATGACATAAAGGTATCTGTCCTGGTGAATATGAATCAACAAGGAACGGAGGATCTCTATGCCTGAACAAGGCTGAAAGAAGTAGAACATTTTAGCCAAAGTAACAATGCTCAGTGTGTCTTTGTCACAAACATTTCAAATTGAAATGCTTCTGTTAATATAGACCATTGGTCCCAGGAAGCCATATTTTTTCTAAATGTGCATCACTAGAATATAGTGTGTAACTTATTAAGGAGGGGAAGAAGAAAGTCGGACAGGGAAAAATCTGAAGACAGGAGTGCTTGCTTTAGAGAAACTTATATCTGAGAATTGTTTTCAGGTATGATGGGAGCTCTAGTTTTTTAATGTCTAGCTACTCATTACCTTTGTGAGTTACCTGTGCTATTATTTTCAAAGGTGACATTTTTAGCATGGTTAATTATCACTTTGAGTCTTCTACCTGTCACAAAATTTTAAAAAATTTTTTGGTGTAATCATCCAGGTTACATTCTTCTAAATTTATGATGAAAAACATTCACCTCATATTTTGAAAAACACAGAAAAAAAAATTGACTGCCAAGAGCCAACTGGTCAAAAGAAGCACTAAGAAGAAGTATCTCCAGTCTCCCACCATGCGACTCGACAACCTGTCTTCACATTTCCACACACACCAGGGGAGAATTAACCTACAATGCATGCTGGAAAACCATGATCAGACGGGAATGTGGACAAGGAGAAAAGAAGAAACCTGAGTGGAAGAAGATCCTATCTGAGGCAGGAAGATGAGAGAAGAATGAACCTTCAGCTAAACCACACAAATATTCCCTGGCATCTGGACCTATGAGAAGCCTCTTAGTCCATTTCCCTCTGGTGGCAGCACTGGATAGAGGCTGAATGGGATCTGTGTGCCGGGTAGTGGTCATTGAGGAAGAAGTCCAGGGAGCAGACTACTAGAATCCATGAAAGTCCCTTCAAACATTGTTATTAGCAATGTAAAATAAGCAAGACCCTTCAAACTAAGAAAAAGCTACTTTTCATTTTATCCGATGTTCTTATTATTTTGCCCGACTCAAAACATCTTTTAAAAATTCCCTTCCCCAGAGTTTAAAAAGGAAAAAAAGCAAGACCAAAAACTACAAACTAGAAACAAGATTAGAACACCTGGTTTATTGGGAAATTCATAATGAAAACTGTAATTGCTTATTCTGCAACTTACAAAATAATAATTTGATATATAAAATGAATTGGTTTTCATTATGTAAGTACAAATGGTAAAAAAAATAATAATCATAGTCAATGCGATATATCCTCTATTTGCTATTCAGAGAAATCTCACATCCCTGAATTCTCCTGTTGTATGTCTTATATCAGATATTTTATATCTCTTTTTCCAAGGAAGACCAGGTTTGTAACTACATTTAAGGTGTTGTTTACAATTGCAATCTACCAGAAGCTGTGTCTATATGATTAGAGCCCAGTCAAACCTGAGATGAACAATTCAAGCCAATTCCTCTCCTTCGGCTGTTTTAATGTCACTTTCTGAGAGGAATGGAGCTCCTGACGCTTTACTCAACCACCGATTCGTGCTTATCGGTTGGGATGAATTAGACCCAGCCCATCTTTCAATCCATCTACTGTGTTGGGGATCATATAGACACAAAAGAGTACAGATTTATTAATATAGCATTTTCCCACACCCCAACCCCGTAAACCACTTTAAAAGAAAAAAGTTCATCTTAATGTTTCACTACATAAGGAGGCATTATACCTGTAGCAGGCTTTGGCTATGAAAGAATACTTTCCTAGATGCCATATCAAGTAGACGTGAAGCCTCGCAAAAAAAATCAGGATATTAGTGAGAAATTCTCACAAACGATATGCATTTAGGACACTATTTCACTTCTTTAAATAGGTGAAGGCTTGGAAAATATTTATTTTTTGCATTTCTTTTAGGATATTGGGTCACGGACAATTTTTACTAATATCTCTCTCTTCTTGTCGGCTCCATTATTAATAGACCCAGTCCATTCCATCTGGGCAAACCAGAAACTTGACCAGGTCAGTCCAATCTTTGAAGCCTTCTCATTTTTGCCTTATACAGTGGTTAAGCTTCATATTCATATTCTTTTACAAATATCATATAAATGGTATGAATAGATATAAGGGGATATTGGCATATTAGAGGTCATTAGTTAAAAGAAGTAAGTTTTGTTTACAAAACATATATAAAAGATGAATATGAAACTGTAACACCATTTAAGAAATATTTTCTCCCAAATTATTTTAGCATTGACTAGTTTAATGACAGGAACACTGCCCACAAAATGGGTTCAAAGGATGCTGGAGAAGACAGTTTCTTGCTCTGGGATCCATCTTGGCAGCAGCAATCTTCTGCTCACGCCCCACCTTAGGCAGATGTGTAGAAGTACCTGGGCTTGGCATTGCCCAAAAGGTCATCTTCATAGTTGGGAAGGCAACAGAAGAAGAAGGCACAGCCGATCAGGATAATCGTGGCTGCCCACCCGAAACCATAGGCCCAGTTATAGATGTAAGTGACACCGGGGTTGATATGAAGGTTGAAGGTCTGCGTGTACTTCACAGGGTAAATTACCAGGGAGATGATCTGGAATATAGCTAAAGGGAAGAAAAACATCACAAAGTGAATATAGGACACATGAATGAATGCACGGGGACAACAGATTAACTCCCTCTTCCACAGCTGGTTTTTGCCGTTAAATAAGTGTTAAATCTACTTCCTGCTAATGAAGGAGACTGGCGGGGGATCTATTCATCATGAGCCAAAACAAGTTATTGACTCCTGTATGTCAGAGAGACCTGGCACTGAGAAGAATGCTGAATATACGAAACACGGACAGAAAGCAATTAGAGAACCCCTCTTAGGACCTGTGTGAGCATTGTATTTACTTAAGTACAGAGTGCAAAACGGTGGTGTACAGCCAAAAGCACGGTGGTACAAAAGAGTATCTTTTCATCTTGGTATTTCCTGTGCCAAACACAGTTAATATTTTCGGGGCTAGCAAAAATAATACATACACCTACACATGTGTGCATGCACACATGTACATATATTTGACAATATTGATATTTAACAGCACACCACTGGAATATTCACTTAATAAATGAGTAACTAAATGAAACAACAAGCCAGTGATGTGAATGATCAACATAGAGAAACACCAGAAAAGCCTGAAGAGGAGGTGGGAATCTGAGGAATAAATAGAAATGGAGAGATGGAGGTCAGAGGGAACAGCATTCCAGGCTGGGGGAACAGAAACAGGAGGGGAATGGTCCTACTGCCATGGGGAAGTGTAAGGAGGAGATAAGAAAGAAAACACAGGTCGACAAGACTTCTAAACTCTTTGGCGTAAGAGTCATCTTCTTACAATTACTATTAATCATATTAACATTTTAAGCAACTTAAAAAGATAAGAACTTGATTAAATCGACTTCTATATTCTTTTTCAATGAACATGCGTAACTCCATGAAGCTATAATGAGCATACACATGCTGTGTTGTGTTCTGCATTCTTTTGCCATGTCATAGGGTAGGAACACATTTTCACTCTGTAACATTAAGACACTAGTCTACACCAAGCGGTGCCTGCCGGCTGTGCTCCTAGATCCCTAGTTCTTGCATTCCATTAATAAATGTTCACTCTGACCACACCCACCTGCATCACTAAATCCCCCGTCCCGCAGAATCAGCTCTATGATACAAAAAGGCAGTTCCGGACCTGGCCCCTCCTAGGGTCTCCTGTCGCACTGCAGAAAACCTTTCTATGGCCCGCCACATCATAAGACTGTAACACTCCTTCCATAAGTAAAATGGCTCAGGGACATTGCAGCCCCCTCAGCAAGGGGGCTCTCAGGAGGCCAGCACTGGGGCCACTATGGAAACAGTGCACCGAGTCAGCCCTGTCTCAGCCCTGGTCCCTCAAAGTAGGGGTGTCGCTGGATGTGGGGTCACCTATAAGAGACAGCAGCATGCAGCATGGATGGGAAACACGAGGTACCATCTGAGACACAGGAGAGAAGGGACCTAGACCTCAAAGCATATGTCTCGGTTACTTCTGCCCATGGTGACGCATTTTCTGACAACGGATCCGGAAGTGTAATTATCAAGGATTGTGGGTTGGACAGTGCTATCGTGATGTCTACTGAAGGTACAAATGAAGAACCGCTGACTTAGTCTTACCAGCCATGGCCAGGAGGCCTCCAATCACTCTCAGAAAGACCAGCATCTGGGGTCCGCAGAGGGCAAAGAAGGACAGGATAAAACAGATCACCAGGATGATAAAGCCACAGAAGAGCATGGCAGCCGCTGCCCTTCCCCACGCTGTAAGAGAAAAGAAATTAATAAGACACACAGGCCAAATTTTAAAATCACCTATCAAAGTATCAATAGGAGGTGTTTTTTTTTTTTTTTATTGTCTACTACTTTATTTGGGTGGAAGGACAGTCTTTTTGACAGTACTTCAGCATCTCCATATCTCAAGGAAGGAATAGGCAATTCATATGGAGGGCACGATATATTCCTTGCAGTAATGCCCTCTCCCCTCAGACTTGGAGCAAACGTTTCTATCTCTGAAATGAAAGTTAAAATGCATTCAACTGTTCCTTGGGCGCCTGGGTGGCTCATTTGGTTAAGCGACTGCCTTCGGCTCAGGTCATGATCCTGGAGTCCCGGGATCGAGTCCCGCATCGGGCTCCCTGCTCAGCAGGGAGTCTGCTTCTCCCTCTGACCCTCCCCCCTCTCATGTGCTCTCTCTCTCCTCTCATCCTCTCTCTCAAATAAATAAATAAAATCTTTAAAAAAAAAATTCATTCAACTGTTCCTCATGTAATAAAGAAGCCATACAAACAGGTATATTTAAAAGGTTCTCTCCCTCTGCCCCTCCCCCTGCTCATGCTCTCTTGCTCTCGCACGCGCTCTCTCAAATAAATAAATAAAATCTTTTAAAAAATAAACAAAATAAAATAGAAGGTTCACTCAAGTTCTGACATAACACAACCATAACAAACAACACTTTTGGTATTGAACAATTAAGTTATAATCCCTTTAGGAAATGGTTCAAATACCTTCAAAAAGAGCTTTGTTTCATATTAATGTTTGGTTCTGTGCCAAAATAGTCTTTGAAAACGTACTTATGACTAGGCAGAGAGGTGCACTAAAACGATTTAATTATAAAGAAACTGTGATTTTTATAACAAGTTTAGGTACAAACAATATCCCATTATTTGTCTAAATTTTCACTTCTTAAGTATTCAGAATTGACAGCACAAGACTTCTTAATAATGGGTATGGGCCTTAAAAGCAATCAGGATGAAGTGAAAACTGAGTTCTGGGCTTGAAAATCCACATGGGCGCCTCCAGCCCTGTGTTGTTCTACCTTGAGCCTGTGGGCATAGGGAGAGCCAGGATACCCAGGCTAACAATTCTAGTCAGTAAGTCCCGATGTGCAACCTGCACTGATTTCAAAAATCTCTTCCAATATAACCTGCTTTCTAGAGGGCATAACTAACATTGATGATGGAATTGCTCGTCAGGCACTGCGCTAAGCACTTGACATGCATCAGTTCACTAAATCTTCACAATAACTTTTAATGTTCTCTTCTTTTTTTTTTTAAGAGAGGGAGGTGGGGGAGGAGCAGATGGAGGAGGGGAGAGAGAATCTTAAGCAGGTTCCACGCCCACTGCGGAGCCTGAAGCAGGGCTCCATCTCAAGACCCTGAGATCATGACCTGAGCCTAAATCAGGGTCAGATGCTTAACCAACTGAATCACCCAGATGCCCCACAATACATTTTAAAGGTTCATACTATCATCATGTCTTTAGTTGGGCACCCGGCTGGTTCAGTTGGAGCATGGGACTTTTGATCTCAGGGTTGTAAGTTCGAGCCCCACGTTGGGTGTAGAGATAACTTAAAAATAAAAAAACTTTATCATCATTTCTTTAGAAATAAGGATATACTAAGGCTTTGAAAGTTCAGATGACCTGCCCATAGCCACACAGTTGGTAGGTGGTTCAGGCAGAGTTTGATTTCCAGCCTGGCTAAACCCAAAACAGGATTCTTTTCAGATATATAATTTACATAAAATTCACTCTTTCTTTTTTTTTTTTTTTAAAGATTTTTATTGATTTATTTGACAGAGAGAGACACAGCGAGAGAGGGAACACAAGCAGGGGGAGTGGGAGAGGGAGAGGGAGAAGGAGAAGCAGGCTTCCCGTCGAACAGGGAGCCCGATGCGGGGCTCGATCCCAGGACCCCGGGATCATGACCTGAGCCGAAGGCAGACGCTTAACGACTGAGCCACCCAGGCGCCCCAAATTCACTCTTTCAAAGTGTACAATTCAGGGGTCTCTACTATATCCACAGGGTGGTGCAACCATCACCACTTACAATTCCAAAATTTTCATCACCCCCAGAAGAAGCCCCACGTCCATTAGCGGTCACTTGCCATTCTCCCTTTCCTCCAGCTTCCGGCAACCATTAATCTAGTTTCTGTCTCTACCAACTGGCTTATTCTGGACATTTCCAATAAATGGGATCCATACTGTGTGGCCTTTTGTGACTGTCTCCTCCCACCCAGCATAATGGCTTCAAGGCTCACCCATATTTGCAGGTACCAGTACTCCATCCCTTTTTATAACCAAAAAATATTCTGTTGTGCAGCTCTTCCACATTTTATTTATCCATTCATTCATTCACTGATGGACGAACATGAGCTCTTGACCTATTCCTCTGTATTGCACTCGAAAAAAGTAAAAGTAAACCGCCCTGGTTTTACTCCTTCTCAAACACAGCTTGCCTGACACCTGCATCCTCCCTTCCGCATAGGTCATTTGGCTGGTCCAAGTAAAAGGTGTCAGAGAGCAGAGGTAACCCGGACTCTGAAGCCAGCCGGACCTCATTTCTACCCTGCCACTGTCATCTGCACAGCAGCTAACTGGGGCAAAAAATGCCTGCTTTCAAGACAAGTGTGAGGATGACAGCCCTTGTGTGAAAAGTCAGGGAGCTAGGAATTCTCCAGCCTTCACCATTCAAGAAGTTACTTATGTATGCCTATGAACTTTTCTCTGGGATCTCGAGATTTTCCGTTTTCTTCCTATATTTGCAAAGTTCTGCACTACCACATCCTTGTTCCTCAGTTACCCACCACATGTTTACATCATCTGTTATAGACAAACCTGAACTACGTTCCCCTGTTGCTTTCTCCAATCCCCAAGCTCCTCCCAGATCTTCCTCTAGGTTTATGAATGACTAGGGCATGATAGGTTATTAAGGAGAAGACACATTTTTTATATGCCTCAGAAATACCATGTTTCCCCACAAATTATGCCTTAGTATCCCTGCAGGACAAGGCTGAGAGTGCATGAGTAGGTCTGATTTGATATTTATAATTTTCATTACTTCCCTCAGATCTTTTTGTGCTTTCTGGAGATCAATAAGAGACCTTAGGGGCAAGATAAAATAGAAATGTTTTATTTTAAAATAGAAATGAATAAAGCCAGAATGTGAAACATTCTCACTTTTGCCTTGTCCTTCAAGTAAGGGAACTTGCAAGAGAAGCAGGACCATGCTTTGGAAAGAATATTAATCAGATCATCTCAAAGCCTAGCCCAAAGATCATGGTGTCAAAATCATCAGTGGTGCTTATCAAAAATATAGATTCCTGTGGTTCCCTCCCGACCCACTGAATCAGAACTCAAGCGGTAGTACCCAGGAATCTGCACCTTACTGACATTTCTTACGTCCATGCTAAAGTTTGAGAACTAAGAGAGATGATTAATCTCCTTATAAAAACAGATGCAGCATGCCAAAAACAAGAGCATATAATTTTCTGGATGTGACCCACTGTCAGTTACAGTCACATTTCTATAGATGTTTATGGTTACTGCCAATGATTATATTCAATTAAATCCAATTATTAATTCAAAGAAGCAGATACTGATTTTTCCTTTTGAGTTCATAGGTTCAAAACTGCATGCAGAGGAATGCAAACGTGGGGGAAAACTGCATGGCCGAATGTGAATTTTCGATAATAAAACTTCCTAACAAAGAACATATTTTGATAACCAAATTTTGACAGTCACAGATTAAGGTTTTATAAGTAGAGCTAAATAAGTCATGTATGATGTAGCTATGAAGTGTAACATTATTCCTATTTATTTGGGGAAGATGAATACAGATTATTGCTATTACTACTTCCTCTAACATAATAGCTGAGGTGTAATTTACACTGAGTTTCAAGTACTTGAAAGGAGTTAAGAAAACGGCAAGCCGGTTCACCTAACCTGAAGCCAACCGGTGAGCACAAATATAAACACAGCCCATTTTAAGCACTTGGCCTATGCTATGTGAAATAATTCACTCACGGTTTGTTTACTTAAAATGCTGAGTCTAAAGAAAATCAAAATGGCAAATTAAGTGTCATCTTTTCCAGAGAAAAGCTTCTCTGGAAGTAGAACATGTGTAACCTGCTCCTACAGCATGGAAACGCCCACAATGAATCACTTAACTACCGCTGAAGACCCAAATCTTGGCACGGTTTTGAAGATCTGGCTGATGAATAACGAGTAAGACAACCTGCCTTCTCATATCAATGACTATGTTGCTATAAAATGATGAGAGGGACCCTCCTGGGTCTTAGCAGGGTCAGCCCAGCCCTATATTCTGTCCGAGAAGGGGACCGAAAGCCGTGTAGACTTATAAGATGGCAAATCTCCATGACATAACATTTTGAAAAGTTAAGGTAAATCTGTACCCCAAGTACATTTGGTCTCACCTAATTACCCAGAATGAACCTAATACCTACAAATTTACCCAACCCTTTGGGGAACTATTTATATTTTTATACTATACCATGGTCTAAATTATACCATATCTACCAACCCCAACAGAAAAACACCAATTTTTAAAAAACTTATCCTACTACTTCTTCCATGATTGAACAGATAGATGGTCCTTGGCACTTCACAAGTCTGTCCTCCATTATTATTTTATACGCAAAATTGTATTGCCTTTTCTAATTGTGGTTTGTGATAGCAGGGAGGATTCTCGCGCTGTCAGCACTCTGTGAACCGAAAACACAAATCATGCACTACTCCAGGTAAACAGATGCCGTGTTTCTGAGCAGGAATGGTTTCTGTTTGTTCTGTCTCCTTAAGGGAAGATGAATTTGGTGTTATATATGATCTATTATGTCCTAAATTTATTTTCTAAGTGCCACTTGGAGAAGTTCCTATTATCAAAGAAACCAGCAGCCTTATAAATCCACTTGTAAATAAGATTCATTAAAGATCCATTTGGATGAAGAACAGCTTACCTAATTTTG